ATTTTGGGATTGGGAATTTTGGGATTGGGAATTTTGGGATGAAATCCCTCAGGTTTGGGAATTTTGGGATTTAAGTCCTTTGGGATTGGGAATTTTGGGATAAAATCCCTCAGGATTGGGAATTTTGGGATTTAAATCCTTTGGGATTGGGAATTTTGGGATTTAAGTCCTTTGGGATTAGGAATTTTGGGATAGAATCCCTCAGGACTGGGAATTTTCAGAACAAAATATATCGAGATTGGGAATTTATGGGATTGGGAATTTTGGGGATTGGGAATTTTTGGGATTGGGAATTTTGGGATTTTCGCTGTTGGGAATTCCCGGAATTTTGATTTTTTGGGAATTTTTTGGCAATCTCCCGTGTCCGAGGCGGGGCACGGTGCTGCTGAGCAGGAGCAGGAAACCCTCGGGAATGGGAATTTTGGGATAAAATCCCTCGGGATTGGGAATTTTGGGATGAAATCCCTCGGGATTGGGAATTTTGGGATAAAATCCCTCCGGTTTGGGAATTTTGGGATTTTCACTGTTGGGAATTCCCGGAGTTTTGATTTTTTGGGAATTTTTTGGGAATCTCACGTGTCCGAGGCGGGGCACGGTGCTGCTGAGCAGGAGCAGGAAACCCTCGGGACTGGGAATTTTGGGATGAAATCCCTCAGGATTGGGAATTTTGGGATGAAATCCCTCAAGATTGGGAATTTTGGGATGAAATCCTTGGGGATTGGGAATTTTGGGATGAAATCCCTCGGGATTGGGAATTTTGGGATGAAATCCCTCGGGACTGGGAATTTTGGGATAAAATCCCTCAGGATTGGGAATTTTGGGATTTAAGTCCTTTGGGATTGGGAATTTTGGGATGAAATCCCTCGGGGTTGGAAATTTTGGGATAAAATCCCTCGGGACTGGGAATTTTGGGATAAAATCCCTCGGGACTGGGAATTTTGGGATGAAATCCCTCGGGATTGGGAATTTTGGGATTTTTGCTGTTGGGAATTCCCGGAATTTTGGGAATTTTTTGGGAATCTCACGTGTCCGAGGCGGGGCACGGTGCTGCTGAGCAGGAGCAGGAAACCCTCGGGGCTGGGAATTTTGGGATAAAATCCCTCGGGATTGGGAATTTTGGGATGAAATCCCTCAGGATTGGGAATTTTGGGATAAAATCCCTCAGGTTTGGGAATTTTGGGATTTAAGTCCTTTGGGATTGGGAATTTTGGGATAAAAATCCCTCAGGATTGGGAATTTTGGGATTGAAGTCCCACAGGATTGGGAATTTTGGGAACAAAATATATCGAGATTGGGAATTTATGGGATTGAGAATTTTGGGATTTTTGCAGTTGGGAATTCCCGGAATTTTGGGAATTTTTCGGGAATCTCACGTGTCCGAGGCGGGGCGCGGTGCTGCTGAGCAGGAGCAGGAAACCCTCGGGACTTGGAATTTTGGGATAAAATCCCTCAGGATTGGGAATTTTGGGATAAAATCCCTCAGGATTGGGAATTTTGGGATTTTTGCAGTTGGGAATTCCCGGAATTTTGATTTTTTGGGAATTTTTTGGGAATCTCACATGTCCGAGGCGGGGCACGGTGCTGCTGAGCAGGAGCAGGAAACCCTCGGGACTGGGAATTTTGGGATAAAACCCCTCGGGTTTGGGAATTTTGGGATAAAATCCCTCGGGATTGGGAATTTTGGGATTTTTGCAGTTGGGAATTCCTGGAATTTTGGGAATTTTTTGGGAATTTTTTGGGAATCTCACGTGTCCGAGGCGGGGCACGGTGCTGCTGAGCAGGAGCAGGAAACCCTCGGGACTGGGAATTTTGGGATAAAATCCCTCGGGATTGGGAATTTTGGGATGAAATCCCTCGGGTTTGGGAATTTTGGGATTTTTGCTCTTGTGAATTCCTGGAATTTTTCTTTTTTGGGAGTTCTTTTTTAGGAAACCCTCGGGGCTGGGAATTTGGTAATTGGGAATTTTGGGATAAAATCCCTCAGGATTGGGAATTTTGGGATTGAAGTCCCACAGGATTGGGAATTTTGGGAACAAAATATATCGAGATTGGGAATTTTGGGGATTGGGAATTTATGGGATTGGGAATTTTTGGGATTGGGAATTTTGGGGATTGGGAATTTTGGGATAAAATCCCTCGGGTTTGGGAATTTTGGGATAAAATCCCTCGGGTTTGGGAATTTTGGGATGAAATCCCGCAGGATTGGGAATTTTGGGATTTAAGTCCTTTGGGATTGGGAATTTTGGGATAAAATCCCTCGGGATTGGGAATTTTGGGATAAAATCCCTCAGGATTGGGAATTTTGGGATTGAAGTCCCACAGGATTGGGAATTTTGGGAACAAAATATATCGAGATTGGGAATTTTGGGGATTGGGAATTTATGGGATTGGGAATTTTGGGGATTGGGAATTTTGGGAATTGGGAATTTTTGGGTTTGGGAATTTTGGGACTTTCCCTGTTGGGAATTCCCGGAATTTTTCTTTTTCGGGAATTTTTTGGGAATCTCCCGTGTCCGAGGCGGGGCACGGTGCTGCTGAGCAGGAGCAGGAAACCCTCGGGACTGGGAATTTTGGGATGAAATCCCTCGGGTTTGGGAATTTTGGGATAAAAATCCCTCAGGATTGGGAATTTTGGGATGAAATCCCTCCGGATTGGGAATTTTGGGATTTAAGTCCTTTGGGATTGGGAATTTTGGGATAAAATCCCTCAGGATTGGGAATTTTGGGATTGAAGTCCCACAGGATTGGGAATTTTGGGAACAAAATATATCGAGATTGGGAATTTATGGGATTGGGAATTTTGGGGACTGGGAATTTGGGAATTGGGAATTTTGGGGATTGGGAATTTTTGGGGTTGGGAATTTTGGGATTTTCGCTGTTGAGAATTCCCGGAATTTTGGGAATTTTTTGGGAATCTCACGTGGCCAAGGCGGGGCACGGTGCTGCTGAGCAGGAGCAGGAAACCCTCGGGAATGGGAATTTTGGGATAAAATCCCTCGGGGCTGGGAATTTTGGGATGAAATCCCTCGGGTTTGGGAATTTTGGGATTTTTGCTGTTGGGAATTCCCGGAATTTTTATTTTTTGGGAATTTTTTGGGAATCTCATGTGTCCGAGGCGGGGCACGGTGCTGCTGAGCAGGAGCAGGAAACCCTCGGGACTGGGAATTTTGGGATGAAATCCCTCGGGATTGGGAATTTTGGGATGAAATCCCTCAGGATTGGGAATTTTGGGATGAAATCCATCAAGATTGGGAATTTTGGGATTTAAGTACTTTGGGACTGGGAATTTTGGGATAGAATCCCTCAGGATTGGGAATTTTGGGATGAAATCCCTCAGGATTGGGAATTTTGGGATTTAAGTCCTTTGGGATCGGGAATTTTGGGATAAAAATCCCTCAGGATTGGGAATTTTGGGATTGAAGTCCCACAGGATTGGGAATTTTGGGAACAAAATATATCGAGATTGGGAATTTATGGGATTGGGAATTTTGGGGATTGGGAATTTTGGGGATTGGGAATTTTGGGATTTTTGCTGTTGGGAATTCCCGGAATTTTGGGAATTTTTGGGAATCTCACGTGTCCGAGGTGGGGCACGGTGCTGCTGAGCAGGAGCAGAAAACCCTCGGGATTGGGAATTTTGGGATAAAATCCCTCGGGATTGGGAATTTTGGGATGAAATCCCTCGGGATTGGGAATTTTGGGATTTTCCCTGTTGTGAATTCCCGGAATTTCTCTTTTTTGGGAATTTTTCGGGAATCTCACGTGGCCGAGGCGGGGCACGGTGCTGCTGAGCAGGAGCAGGAAACCCTCGGGACTGGGAATTTTGGGATAAAATCCCTCAGGATTGGGAATTTTGGGATAAAATCCCTCGGGATTGGGAATTTTGGGATTGGGAATTTTGGGATTGGGAATTTTGGGATGAAATCCCTCAGGTTTGGGAATTTTGGGATTTAAGTCCTTTGGGATTGGGAATTTTGGGATAAAATCCCTCAGGATTGGGAATTTTGGGATTTAAATCCTTTGGGATTGGGAATTTTGGGATTTAAGTCCTTTGGGATTAGGAATTTTGGGATAGAATCCCTCAGGACTGGGAATTTTCAGAACAAAATATATCGAGATTGGGAATTTATGGGATTGGGAATTTTGGGGATTGGGAATTTTTGGGATTGGGAATTTTGGGATTTTCGCTGTTGGGAATTCCCGGAATTTTGATTTTTTGGGAATTTTTTGGCAATCTCCCGTGTCCGAGGCGGGGCACGGTGCTGCTGAGCAGGAGCAGGAAACCCTCGGGAATGGGAATTTTGGGATAAAATCCCTCGGGATTGGGAATTTTGGGATGAAATCCCTCGGGATTGGGAATTTTGGGATAAAATCCCTCCGGTTTGGGAATTTTGGGATTTTCACTGTTGGGAATTCCCGGAGTTTTGATTTTTTGGGAATTTTTTGGGAATCTCACGTGTCCGAGGCGGGGCACGGTGCTGCTGAGCAGGAGCAGGAAACCCTCGGGACTGGGAATTTTGGGATGAAATCCCTCAGGATTGGGAATTTTGGGATGAAATCCCTTGGGATTGGGAATTTTGGGATTTAAATCCTTTGGGATTGGGAATTTTGGGATAAAAATCCCTCAGGATTGGGAATTTTGGGATTGAAGTCCCACAGGATTGGGAATTTTGGGAACAAAATATATCGAGATTGGGAATTTATGGGATTGGGATTTTTGGGGATTGGGAATTTTTGGGATTGGGAATTTTGGGATTTTTGCTGTTGGGAATTCCCGGAATTTTTGTTTTTTGGGAATTTTTTGGGAATCTCACGTGTCCGAGGCGGGGCACGGTGCTGCTGAGCAGGAGCAGGAAACCCTCGGGACTGGGAATTTTGGGATGAAATCCCTCAGGAATGAGAATTTTGGGATAAAATCCCTCAGGAATGGGAATTTTGGGATTTTCCCTGTTGGGAATTCCCGGAATTTCTCTTTTTTGGGAATTTTTTGGGAATCTCACGTGTCCGAGGCGGGGCACGGTGCTGCTGAGCAGGAGCAGGGTGCTGACGCTGACGCTCCGGACGTCGGCGCTCGTCGGATCCTCGGGATTTTCCTCTGGAATTTCGGAGGGCTGGGGGAAAACAGGGAGGAATTCCCCAAAAAAAGTTGGGAAAAGGATGGGAAATGTTGGGAAAAGTTGGGAAAACATCTGGAAAAATTGGGAAGAAATGGGAAAAATGTGGTAAAGGGATGGGAAAATGGGGAAAAGGTTGGGAAAAGTTGGGAAAAGGATGGGAAAAATGGGAGAAGTTGGGAAAAGGATGGGAAAATTGGGAAAATGAGGAAAAATTGGGAGAAGGACGGGAAAAGAGTGGGAAAAGCTGGAAAAAGTTGGGAAAAATGGGGAAATGGAGCAAAGGAGGGGAAAAATTGGGAAAATGGAGAAAATTGTGGGAGAAGTTGGAAAAAGGGTGGGAAAAGTTGGGGAAAGGATGGGAAAACTTGGGGAAAGGATGGGAAAAGTTGGGAAAAGTTGGGAAAAAATGGGGAAAATGGGGAAAAGGGTGGGAAAACTTGGGAAAAGGATGGGAAAAGTTGGGAAAACATTGGGAAACATTGGGAAAAACCGGGAAAATAATGGGAAAATTGGGAAAATTATGGGAAAATTGGGAAAATAATGGGAAAAGTTGGGAAAACTTGGGAAAAAATGGGGAAAATGGGAAAAGGTTGGGAAAACTTGGGAAAAGGGTGGGAAAAGTTGGGAAAAGGGTGGGAAAAGTTGGGAAAAGGATGGGAAAAATTAGGAAAAATGGGGAAAATTGAGAAAATAATGGGAAAATTGGGAAAATGATGGGGAGGGTTGGGAAAAATATTGGGAAAAAGTGGGGAAAATGGGGAAAAGGCTGGGAAAACTTGGGAAAAGGTTGGGAAAACTTGGGAAGAGGGTGGGAAAAGAATGGGAAAAGTTGGGAAAAATGGGGAAAATGGGGAAAAGGTTGGGAAAAGTTGGGAAAAGTCGGGAAAAGTTGGGAAAAGGATGGGAGAAGTTGGGAAAAAATGGGGAGGGAAAAGTTGGAAAAAGGACGGGAAATTTGGAGAAGATTATGAGAAATTGGGAAAAAATGGGGAAAACTTGAGAAGAGGACAGGGGAAAATGGGAAAAGGGTGTGGAAAAGTTGGAAAAAGTTGGGAAAAACTGGGAAAAGTTGGGGAAAAGAGTGGGAAAAGGATGGGAAAAATGGGGAAAATGGGGAAAAGGTTGGGAAAACTTGGGAAAAGTTGGGAAAACATTGGGAAAAATGGGGAAAAATTGGAAAAATTGAGAAAATAATGGGAAAATGCTGGGAAATGTTGGGAAAAAATTGGGAAAAAATGGGGAAAATGGGGAAAAAGGCTGGGAAAACTTGGGAAAAGGGTGGGAAAAGTTGGGAAATGAATGGGAAAAGTTGGGAAAAATGAGGAAAATGGGGAAAAGGGTGGGAAAAGTTGGGAAAAGGATGGGAAAAGTTGGGAAAACATTGGGAAAAGTTGGAGAAATGATGGGCAAAGTAGTGAAAAAATGGGGGAAATGGGGAAAAGGGTGGGAAAACTTGGGGAAAGGATGGGAAAACTTGGAAAAAGGGTGGGAAAACTTGGAAAAAGGGTGGGAAAACTTGGGGAAAGGGTGGGAAAAGTTGGGAAAAGGATGGGAAAAGTTGGGAAAACATTGGGATAAGTTGGAGAAATGATGGGAAAAGTTGGGAAAAAATGGGGAAAATGGGGAAAAGGGTGGGAAAACTTGGGGAAAGGGTGGGAAAAGTTGGGAAAAGGGTGGGAAAAGTTGGGAAAATGATGGGAAAAGTTGGGAAAACATTGGGAAAAGTTGGAGAAATGATGGGAAAAGTTGGGAAAAAATGGGGAAAAGGTAGGGAAAACTTGGGAAAAGGTTGGGAAAATTTGGGGAAAGGGTGGGAAAAGTTGGGAAAAGTTGGGAAAAGTGGGGAAAAGCTGGGGAATTTGGGAATTCTCACCGGCTCGGCGGGCAGGGCGCACTGCTCCACCAGGAATTCCAGCAGCGCCTCCGCCCCTGGCTGCTCCAGGAAACCGTGGTGGGCCAGGGCCGAGATCAGCTGCACCAGGGCGCACTTCACCTGCGGAAAAAACGGGAAAAACGGGAAAAATCGGGAATTCTGGGGGAGAAACGGCGAAAAAATGGGGAGAAACGGTGGAAAAATGGGGAAAAACGGTGAAAAAATGGGGAGAAACGGTGTAAAAATGGGGGAAATGTGGGAAAAAGGGAAATTGGGAGTCAGGAGCAGAGATCAGCTGCACCAGGGCGCACTTCACCTGCGGAAAAATGGGAAAAATGGGAAAAATCGGGAATTCTGGGGGAGAAACGGTGGGAAAATGGGGAGAAACGGGGAAAAATGGGGGAAATGGTGAAAAAATGGGGAAAATTGGTGAAAAAATGGGGGAAAAGCAGGGTAAAAATGGGGAAAAGAGAGGAAGAAACAGGAAAAAATTGGAATTCCATGGAAAATTGGAAAAATGGGAAGAAATGGGAAATAAATGGGGGGAAATGGGGAATAAATGAAGGAAAATGGTGAAAAAATGGGGAAAATGGTGAAAAATGGGGGAAATGGTGAAAAATGGGGGAAATGGGGGAAAAAAGGGTAAAAATGGGGAAAAGAGGGAGAAACAGGAAAAAATTGGAATTCTAGGTAAAAATGGGGGAAAATTGGGGAAAAAAGGGGAAAATTGAGGGGAAAAAAGTGGGGGAAAACAGTGAAAAAATGGGGGAAATGTGGGGGGAAATGTGGGGAAAAAAAGGGTAAAAATGGGAAAAAGATGGAGAAAGGAAAAAAAATTGGAATTCTGGGTAAAAATGGGGAAAAAATAGGGAAAAATTGAGGGAAAATGAGGGAAAAACAGTGGAAAAATGGGGGAAATGTGGGGGGAAAATGGGGTGAAAAATGGTAAAAATGGTAAAAATGGGAAAAAGAGGGAGAGAAAGGAAAAAAACTGGAATTCTGGGGGAAAATGGGGAAAAAATAGGGAAAATTTGAGGGAAAATGAGGGAAAAAAATGGGGAAAAGCAGTGAAAAAATGGGGGAAATGTAGGGGGAAAATGGGGAAAAAATGGGGGAAAACAGAGTAAAAATGGGAAAAAGAGGGAGAAACAGGAAAAAATTGGAATTCCATGAAAAACTGGAAAATGGGAAGAAATGGGAAATAAATGTGGGTAAATGGGGAAAAAATGGGGGAAATGGGGGGAAATGGGGAAAAAAAGGGTAAAAATGCGAAAAAAAGGGAGAAAAAGGAAAAAATTGGAGTTCTGGGTAAAAATGGGGGAAAATTGGGGAAAAAAGGGGAAAATTGAGGGGAAAAAAGTGGGGGAAAACAGTGAAAAAACGGGGGAAATGTGGGGGGAAATGGGGGAAAAAAAGGGTAAAAATGGGAAAAAGAGGGAGAAAGGAAAAAAATTGGAATTCTGGGTAAAAATGGGGAAAAATAGGGAAAATTTGAGGGAAAATGAGGGAAAAAAATGGGGAAAAGCAGTGAAAAAATGGAAGAAATGTGGGGGAAAATGGGAAAAAATGGGGAAAAACACAGTAAAAAATGGGAAAAATAGGAAGAAAGAGGAAAAAATTGGAATTCCATGAAAAATGGGGAAAATGGGAAGAAATGGAAAAAAAATTGGTTGGAAAATGGGGGAAAAATGTCGGGAAATGGGGAAAAAATGGAGGAAAGGGTGAAAAAAGTTTGGAAAAATGTGGGAAAAATTGGGAAAATTGGGGAAAACCAGGAATTCCTGGAAAAAATGGGAATTTTAGGGGGAAAAAATGGGAAAAAGGGGATTCCAGCCCCCGTGGCGCCCCCTAGGGGTGGGGAAGGGCAGCGGGGTTCGGGATTTTTGGGAATTCCGGAATTTTTGGGGAATTTTGGGAATTTTCTGGGAATTTTGGGAATTTTCTGGGAATTTTGGGATTACCTTGTTGCTCGGGTCCTGCAGAGGGACTTTCAGGGCAGAGAGGATGGAAACTTTCTGCATTTCCATCTGGGAAGCTGCAAAAAAAAGGGAATTTGGGATGGGGAAAATCCCCCGAGAAACCAATGAAGAATTCCGCAAAAAATCCCAAAAAACCCCAAAATAATCCCAGAAAATCCCCATGAAATTCCGAATAAGATTCCCATAAAATCCCCATGAAATCCCAAAATAATCCCCGAAAATCCCCATAAAATCCCCAACAAAATTCCCATGAAATCCCAAAATAATCCCAGAAAATCCCCATGAAATTCCCAATAAAATCCCCATGAAATCCCAAAATAATCAGAGAAAACCCCCATGAAATTCCCAATAAAATTCCCATAAAATCTCCATGAAATCCGAAAATAATCCCAGAAAATCCCCAATAAATCCCCAAACAATTCCTTAATAAATCCCAAAAAATCCCAGAAAATCCCATGAAATCCCCAAATAATCCCATAAAATATCCCATTAAATTCCATTTAAAAAATCCCAATAAATCCCCAATAAACACCATTAAAAATCCCATAAAATCCCCCAATAAATTCCCAATAATTCCCAAAAATACTCCATAAAAAAAACCCAAGAAAAATCCCATTAAACCCCATTAAAACCCCATTAAACCCCATTAAAAACCCCATTAAACCCCATTAAACCCCATTAAACACCCCATTAAACCCCATTAAAAACCCCATTAAAAACCCCATTAAACCCCATTAAAAACCCCATTAAACCCCATTAAAAACCCCATTAAACCCCATTAAACCCCATTAAAAACCCCATTAAACCCCATTAAACCCCATTAAACCCCATTAAAAACCCCATTAAAAACCCCATTAAACCCCATTAAACCCCACTAAAAACCCCATTAAACCCCATTAAACCCCATTAAACCCCACTAAAAACCCCATTAAACCCCATTAAACCCCATTAAACCCCACTAAAAACCCCATTAAAAGCTCCATTAAAAAACCTATAAATCCCAAAAAAATCCCCAATAAACGCCCAATAAACCCCAATAAATCCCCAATAAATCCCATAAAAAACCCCAGTAAATCCCCAATAAACCCCAATTAAACCCCAATAAATCCCCAATAAATCCCATAAAAAACCCCAATAAATCCCCAATAAACTCCAAAAAACCCCAATAAATGTCCTATAAATCCCAATAAATCTCCAATAAATCCCCAATAAACTGCCAATACATCCCCTAAAAAATCCATAAAAAACCCATAAAATTCCCTAAGAAATCCCCAAAATACTCCATAAAAAACCCAAAAAAAACCATAAAAAACCCATAAAATCCCCCCAAAAATCCCATTAAAAATCCCATTAAAAACCCCATTAAAAATCTCAATAAAAATCCCATTAAAAATCCCATTGATCCCCATTGATCCCCATTGATCCCCATTGACCCCGATCAATCCCCATTGATCCCCATTGATCCCCATTGATCCCCATTGACCCCCATTGACCCCGATCAATCCCCATTGATCCCCATTGATCCCCATTGACCCCCATTGATCCCCATCAACCCCATTGATCCCCATTGATCCCCATTGATCCCCATTGATCCCCATCAACCCCATTGATCCCCATTGACCCCCATTGATCCCCATTGATCCCCATCGATCCCCATTGACCCCCATTGATCCCCATCGATCCCCATCAATCCCGATTGATCCCCATTGATCCCCATTGACCCCCATTGATCCCCATTGACCCCCATTGATCCCCATCGACTCCCATCGATCCCCATCGATCTCCATCGATCCCCATTGATCCCCATTGACCCCCATTGATCCCGATCGATCCCCATTGACCCCAATCAATCCCCATTGACCCCCATTGACCCCGATTGACCCTGATTGATCCCCATTGATCCCCGCTGCTCACGGGCGCTGTTGAGGAGGTGCCGCAGCAGCCGCAGCGCCCCCTCGATCCCCATTGATCCCCATTGATCCTGATTGACCCTGATTGACCCTGATTGACCCGATTGATCCCCATTGACCCCCATCGATCCCCATTGACCCTGATTGACCCCGATCAATCCCCATTGATCCCCGTGGCTCACGGGCGCTGTTGAGGAGGTGCTGCAGCAGCCGCAGCGCCCCCTCGATCCCCATCGATCCCCATTGACTCTGATCGATCCCCATTGACCCTGATCAATCCCCATCGATCCCCAATAACCCCGATCAATCCCCATTGACCCTGATCAATCCCGATCAATCCCGATCAATCCCCATTGATCCCCATTGATCCCCTCAGCTCACGGGTGCTGTTGAGGAGGTGCCGCAGCAGCCGCAGAGCCCCATTGATCCCCATTGATCCCCATTGATCCCCATTGACTCTGATCAATCCCCATTGACCCTTATTGACCCCGATCGATCCCGATCAATCCTGATTGATCCCCTCGGCTCACGGGCGCTGTTGAGGAGGTGCCGCAGCAGCCGCAGCGCCCCATCGATCCCCATTGATCCCCATTGACCCCCATTGACTCTGATCGATCCCCATTGACCCCGATCAATCCCCATTGACTCTGATCAATCCCCATTGATCCCCATTGATCCCAATCAATCCCAATTGACCCTGATTGATCCCCATTGATCCCTGTGGCTCACGGGCGCTGTTGAGGAGGTGCCGCAGCAGCCGCAGTGCCCCGTGCCGGTGCCGCTCGGAGCCGCTCTCCAGCCGCGGCAGCAGCCAGGCCAGGAGCCGCGCCGGGAACGGCGCCGCTGCCGCGGAAACGGGGCGAAAATCGGGGATTTTGGGAAAAAACAGAATTTAATGGGTTTGATGGGGTTTTTAATGGGGTTTTTAATTGGGTTTAATGGGGTTTTCAATGGGGTTTTTAATGGGGTTTTCAATGGGGATTTTAGTGTGGTTTTTATGTGGTTTTTATGGTGTTTTTAATGGGGTTTCATGGGGTTTCATGGGGTTTAATGGGGATTTTAGTGTGGTTTTTATGGGGTTTTTATTGTGTTTTTAATGGTGTTTAATGGGGTTCATTGGGGGTTTAATGGGGTTGAATGGAGTTTAATGGGGTTTTTAATGGGGTTTAATGGAGTTTTTAATGGGGTTTAATGGAGTTTTTAATGGGGTTTAATGGGGTTTTTAATGGGTTTTAATGGGGTTTAATGGGGTTTAATGGGGTTTTTAATGGGGTTTAATGGGGTTTTTAATGGGGTTCAATGGGGTTTAATGGGGTTTTTAATGGGGTTTAATGGGGTTTAATGGGGTTTTTAATGGGGTTTAATGGGGTTTAATGGGGTTTAATGGAGTTTTTAATGGGGTTTAATGGGGTTTTTAATGGGGTTTTTAATGGGGTTTAATGGGGTTTAATGGGGTTTTTAATGGGGTTTAATGGGGTTTTTAGTGGAGTTTTTAATGGGGTTTTCAATGGGGATTTTAGTGTGGTTTTTATTTGGTTTTTATGGTGTTTTTAATGGGGTTTCATGGGGTTTCATGGGGTTTCATGGGGATTTTAGTGTGGTTTTTATGGGGTTTTTATTGTGTTTTTAATGGTGTTTAATGGGGTTCATTGGGGGTTTAATGGGGTTGAATGGAGTTTAATGGGGTTTTTAATGGGGTTTAATGGGGTTTTTAATGGGGTTTTTAATTGGGTTTATTGTGGTTTAATAGGGTTTTTATGGGGTTTTGAATGGGGTTTTGAATGGGGTTTTTTGTGTGGTTTTTATGGGGTTTGTAATGGGGTTTTTAATAAGTTTAATGGGGTTTTTAATGGGGTTTAATGGGGTTTTTAATGGGGTTTAATGGGGTTTTTAATGGGGTTTAATGGGGTGTAATGGGTTTTAATGGGGTTTAATGGGGTTTAATGGGATTTAATGGGGTTTAATGGAGTTTAATGGGGTTTAATGGGGTTTAATGGGGTTTAATGGGGTTTAATGGGCAAAATTCGGGAATTTTTGATTAAAATCAGGGAATTTGGGGGGAATTTTTGGAATTTTGGGAACACTGGGAACTTTGAGAAAGTTGGGAACTTTGGGGACGTTGGGAATTTTGGGAATGCTGGGAACGTTGGGAATTCTTGAGGGAATTAGTGGAATTTTTGAGGGAATCTGTGGATTTTTGGGCAAAATCACAGAATTTTGAGAGAGAATTACAGAATTTCGGGGGGGAAATTCTAAACAAAAATCAGGGAATTTGCGGGCGGGAATTTTGGGAATTTTGGGAATGTTGGGAATTTCGGGAATTTCGGGAATCTCACCCAGGACGGAGAAGCAGCGCAGCAGCTCCGCCTGGTTCTTGCTGCTCGTGGGGACGTTGGGATCGGCCGGAGCCACCAGCTGAGGGAAAAAAGATGGAAAAATTCCTGGAAAAATCCTGGAAAAGTCATGGGAATGTCCTGGGAAAAATCCCAGAAAAATCCCGGGAAAATTACTTGGAAAGTCCCGGAAAAATCCTGGGAAAATCCTGGAAAAGTCACGGGAATATGCTGGGAAAATCCCAGAAAAATCCTGGGAAAATTACTGGGAAAGTCCCAGAAAAATCCTGGAAAAATCCCGGAAAAATCCTGGAAAACCCTGGGAAAAATCCAGGGAATATCATGGAAAAATCCCAGGAAAATCCCAGGAAAATCCCAGAAAAATCCCAGGAAAATCCCAGAAAAATCTGGGGAAAATCCTGAAAATTTTTGGGGAACATCTGGGCGAAATCCAGGACAATTCCTGGAAAATTTCAGGGAAAAATGCAAGAAGTATCCTGGAAAAATCTGGGAAAATCCTGGGGAAAATTCTAGGAAAAAATCCAGGAAAAATCTGGGAATTACCTGGAACAATCCCAGAAAAATCCAGGAAAAATTCCTCGAAAATTTACGAAAAAATCAGGGAAAACGCCTGGAAATCCAGGGAAAATGCAGGAAATCTCCTGGAAATATATGGGGAAAATCATGGGGAAAATCTGGGAAAAAATCCTAGAAAAATGTGGGAATTTCCTGGAAAAAAAATCCAAGAAAAATCTGGGCATTTCCTGGAATAATCTGGGAATTTCCTGGAAAAATCTGGGAATTTCCCAGAAAAAAAATCCCAGAAAAATCAGATAATTTCCTGGAAAAATCCCAGAAAAGTCCTTTAAAAATCCTGAAAAAATTAGGGAAAAATCCAGGAAAAAATCCAGGAAAAATCTGGGAATTTCCTGGAGAAATCCCAGAAAAATCCCAGAAAAATCCCAGAAAAACAGCAGAAAAATTCCAGAAAATGTCAAGAAAAATCCCAGAAAAAATCCTTTAAAAATCATGAAAAAAAATCAGGAAAAATCCGGGATAAATCCAGAATAATTCCAGGAAAATTCCAGGGGTTTGGGGGGTTCGGAATTCCGAAGGGGCGGAAAATTCCGGGCGGGAATTCCCGACCTGGGCCAGCAGCGCCGCCAGGAGCGGCTCCAGCTGCGCCTCCAAACTGCGGCTGCCCAGCGCCACGGAAGCTTCCAGAAGCTGGCACAGGCTCTGGAAAAAGAGAGGGAAATTGGGAAAAATTCGGGAAAAATTTGGGGGGGAATTGGGGGAAATTTGGGGGGAAAGTTGGGGAGAAGTTGGGGGAAATTTGGGGAAAGTTGGGGAGAAATTTGGGAAAAATTTGGGAAAAACTGAGGGAAATTGGGGGGGAAAACTGGGGAGAAATTTGGGAAAAGTTAGGAGAAAATTGGGGGGAAATTTGGGGAAAGTTTGGGAAAAATTTGGGAAAAATTGAGGGAAATTGGGGAAAGTTGGAGGGAAACTGGGGAAAGTTGGGGAGAAATTTGGGAAAAATTTGGGAAAAACTGAGGGAAATTGGGGGGGAAATTGGGGAGAAGCTGGGGGAAATTTGGGGAGAAGTTGGGGGAAATTTGGGGAGAAGTTGGGGAGAAATTTGGGAAAAATTTGGGAAAAACTGAGGGAAACTGGGGGGAAATTGGGGAAAAGTTGGGAGAAAGTTGGGGAGAAATTGGGGGAAATTTAGGGAAAGTTTGGGAGAAATTTGGGAAAAATCTGGGAAAAATTTGGGAAAAATCTGGGAAAAATTTGGGAAAAACTGAGGGAAATTGAGGGGAAATTGGGGAAAAGTTGGGTGAAATTTGGGAAAAGTTGGGAGAAAGTTGGGGAGAAATTGGGGGAAATTTGGGGAAAGTTGGGGAGAAATTTGGGAAAAATTTGGGAAAAACTGAGGGAAATTGGGGGTGAAATTGGGGAAAAGTTGGGTGAAATTTGGGAAAAGTTGGGAGAAATTGGGAGAAAGTTTGGGATAAATTTGGGAGAAATTTGGGGAAAATTGAGGGAAATTGGGTGGAAATTTGGGGAAAACTGGGGGGAAATTTGGGAAAAGTTGGGAGAAAATTGGGGAGAAGTTGGGGGAAATTTGGGGAAAGTTGGGGAGAAATTTGGGAAAAGTTGGGGGAAATTGGGTGGAAATTTGGGGAAAATCGGGGGGAAATTTGGGGAAATTGGGGACAAGTCCAGAGAAAATTGGGGGGAAATTTGGGGAAAATTGGGGGGAAATTTGGGGAAAATTGGGGAGAAGTCCAGGGAAAATTGGGGGGAAATTTGGGAAAAATTGGGGGAAAATCTGGGAAAATTAGGGCAACAATTTGGGAAAACTGGGGAAAAATTTGGGAAAAATTGAGGGAAAACTTGGGAAAAATTGGGGGAAAATTTGAGAAAATTAGGGCAACAATGTGGGAAAATTGGGGAGAAATTTAGGAAAAACTGGGGGAAAACTTGGGAAAATTGGAGGGAAGTCCAGGGAAAATTGGGGAGAAATTTGGGAAAAACTGGGGGAAAATTTGGGAAAATTAGGGCAACAATTTGGGAAAACTGGGGAAAAATTTGGGAAAAATTGGGGGAAAATTTGAGAAAATTAGGGCAACAATGTGGGAAAATTGGGGAGAAATTCGGGAAAAACTGGGGGAAAATTTGGGAAAATTGGAGGGAAGTCCAGGGAAAATTGGGGAGAAATTTGGGGAAATTGGGGAGAAATTTGGGAAAAACTGGGGGAAAATCTGGGAAAATTAGGGCAACAAATTGGGAAAATTGGGGAGAAGTTCAGGAAAAACTGGGGGAAAACTTGGGAAAAATTGAGGGAAATTGGGTGGAAATTTGGGGAAAATTGGGTGGAAATTTGGGAAAATTGGGGGGAAGTCCAGGGAAAATTGGGGGGAAATTTGGGAAAATGTTGGGGGAAGCCCAGGGAAAACTGGGGGGAAATTTGGGGAAAATTGAGGGAAATTGGGTGGAAATCTGGGGAAAATTGGGTGGAAATTTGGGAAAATTGGAGGGAAGTCCAGGGAAAATCGGGGAGAAATTTGGGGAAAACTGGGGGGAAATACAGGGAAAATTCATGAAAAATTCAGGGGAAATTAGGGAGAAAATCATGGGAAAGCTGTGGAAAAATCCAGGAGAATAAATTTGGGGAAAAATCGGGAAAATCGGGAATTTTGGGCACCTTGGAGATGGGGAAGGGCTCCGGGTGTTTGCGGTAGAGGCCGAGGACGGTCGGGAGGAGTTTCGGGAGCTGCTCCTCCAACTGCTCCCCCGGGATCAGCGAGCTCAGGGGGCCCAGAGCCTCCAGAGCGGCCAGGCGGACCTAAAATCCAGGAAAAAATGGGAAAATCCTGGAATTCCAGAGGGAAACCCTGGAATTCTGACACGAAATCCCGGAATTCCAGCAGAAAACAGCAGGAAAATCTCGATCAGGGAGCTCAGGGGGCCCAGAGCCTCCAGCGCCGCCAGGCGCACCTGCAATCCTGGAAAAAATGGGAAAATCCTGGAATTCTGACAGGAAATCCTGGAATTCCAGAGGGAAATCCTGGAATTCTTATGAGAAATCCCGGAATTCCAGCAGGAAAATGCAGAAAACAGCAGGAAAATCCCGATCAGCGAGCTCAGAGGGCCCAGAGCCTCCAGCGCCGCCAGGCGGACCTGAAATCCAGGAAAAAATGGGAAAATCCCGGAATTCTGACAGGAAATCCCGGAATTCTGATGGGAAATCCTGAAATTCCAGCAGGAAAATAGAGAAAACAGCGGGAAAATCCCAAATTCCAGAGGGAAATCCCGATCAGGGAGCTCAGGGGGCCCAGAGCCTCCAGAGCGGCCAGGCGGACCTGGAATCCCGGAAAAAAATGGGAAAATCCCAGAATTCCAGAGGGAAATCCCGGAATTCTGACAGGAAATCCCGGAATTCCAGCAGGAAAATACAGAAAACAGCGGGAAAATCCCAAATTCCAGAGGGAAATCCTGATCAGGGAGCTCAGGGGGCCCAGCGCCTCCAGGCGCACCTGGAATCCCGGAAAAAAAGGGAAAATCCTGGAATTCTGACAGGAAATCCCAGAATTCTGACAGGAAATCCTGGAATTCCAGCAGGAAAATACAGAAAACAGCAGGAAAATCCCAAATTCCAGAGGGAAATCCTGATCAGTGAGCTCAGGGGGCCCAGAGCCTCCAGTGCCGCCAGGCGGACCTGGAATCCCGGAAAAATGGGAAAATCCTGGAATTCCAGAGGGAAATCCCCGAATTCTGACAGGAAATCCTGGAATTCCAGCAGGAAAATAGAGAAAACAGCAGGAAAATCCCAAATTCCAGAGGAAAATCCCGATCAGGGAGCTCAGGGGGCCCAGCGCCTCCAGAGCCGCCAGGCGGACCTGGAATCCCGGAAAAAATGGGAAAATCCTGGAATTCTGACAGGAAATCCCGGAATTCTGACGGGAAATCCCGGAATTCCAGCAGGAAAATACAGAAAACAGCAGGAAAATCCCAAATTCCAGAGGGAAATCCCGATCAGGGAGCTCAGGGGGCCCAGCGCCTCCAGAGCGGCCAGGCGCACCTGGAATCCAGGAAAAAATGGGAAAATCCCGGAATTCCAGAGGGAAATCCTGGAATTCTGACGGGAAATCCCGGAATTCCAGCAGGAAAATAGAGAAAACAGCAGGAAAATCCCGATCAGGGAGCTCAGGGGGCCCAGCGCCTCCAGAGCCGCCAGGCGGACCTGGAATCCAGGAAAAAATGGGAAAATCCTGGAATTCTGACAGGAAATCCCGGAATTCTGACAGGAAATCCCGGAATTCTGACAGGAAAATGCAGAAAACAGAAGGAAAATCCCAAATTCCAGAGGGAAATCTCGATCAGGGAGCTCAGGGGGCCCAGCGCCTCCAGCGCCGCCAGGCGGACCTGAAATCCCGGAAAAAATGGGAAAATCCTGGAATTCCAGAGGGAAATCCTGGAATTCTGACGGGAAATCCCGGAATTCCAGCAGGAAAATAGAGAAAACAGCAGGAAAATCCCAAATTCCAGAGGGAAATCCCGATCAGGGAGCTCAGGGGGCCCAGCGCCTCCAGAGCCGCCAGGCGGACCTGGAATCCAGGAAAAAATGGGAAAATCCTGGAATTCTGACAGGAAATCCCGGAATTCTGACAGGAAATCCCGGAATTCTGACAGGAAAATGCAGAAAACAGAAGGAAAATCCCAAATTCCAGAGGGAAATCTCGATCAGGGAGCTCAGGGGGCCCAGCGCCTCCAGCGCCGCCAGGCGGACCTGAAATCCCGGAAAAAATGGGAAAATCCTGGAATTCCAGAGGGAAATCCTGGAATTCTGACGGGAAATCCTGGAATTCCAGCAGGAAAATAGAGAAAACAGCAGGAAAATCCCAAATTCCAGAGGGAAGTCCCGATCAGGGAGCTCATGGGGCCCAGAGCCTCCAGCGCGGCCAGGCGGACCTGGAATCCCAAAAAAAATGGGAAAATCCCAGAATTCCAGAGGGAAATCCCGGAATTCTGACAGGAAATCCCGGAATTCCAGCAGGAAAATAGAGAAAACAGCAGGAAAATCCCGATCAGGGAGCTCAGGGGGCCCAGAGCCTCCAGCGCGGCCAGGCGGACCTAAAATCCAGGAAAAAATGGGAAAATCCTGGAATTCTGACAGGAAATCCTGGAATTCTGACGGGAAATCCCGGAATTCTGACAGGAAATCCTGGAATTCTGACAGGAAAATCCCAAATTACAGCGGGAAATCCCGATCAGGGAGCTCAGGGGGCCCAGAGCCTCCAGAGCGGCCAGGCGGACCTGAAATCCAGGAAAAAATGGGAAAATCCTGGAATTCTGACAAGAAATCCTGGAATTCTGACAGGAAATCCCTGAATTCTGACAGGAAATCCCCGAATTCCAGCAGGAAAATAGAGAAAACAGCAGGAAAATCCTGATCAGGGAGCTCAGGGGCCCAGAGCCTCCAGCGCCGCCAGACGGACCTGAAATCACGGAAAAAATGGGAAAATCCCGGAATTCCAGAGGGAAATCCTGGAATTCCAGAGGGAAATCCTGGAATTCTTATGAGAAATCCCGGAATTCCAGCAGGAAAATGCAGAAAACAGCAGGAAAATCCCGATCAGGGAGCTCAGGGGGCCCAGCGCCTCCAGAGCGGCCAGGCAGACCTGAAATCCCGGAAAAAATGGGAAAATCCTGGAATTCTGACAGGAAATCCTGGAATTCCAAAGGGAAATCCCAGAATTTCACTGGGAAAATCCCAAATTCCAGCAGGAAAATAGAGAAAACAGCGGGAAAATCCCAAATTTCCGCGGGAAATCCTGATCAGGGAGCCCATGGGGCCCCTGGAATCCGGTAAAAAATAGGAAAATCCCGGAATTCTGACAGGAATTCCCAGAATTGCAACGGGAAATCCCAGAAAACAGTGGGAAAATCCCGGAAAAGAGCAGGAAAATGCTGGAATTCCAACAGGAAAATGCCAGAATTCCAATGGGGAGATCCGAGAAAAGAGTGGGAAAATCGCAATGTCCCAATATCCCAATATCCCAATATCCCAATATCCCATTATCCCAATGTCCCAATGTCCCAATATCCCAATGTCCCAATGTCCCAATGTCCCAATGTCCCAATGTCCCAATGTCCCAATATCCCAATGTCCCAAACCCCAATCCCAACCCCAAACACCAAATCCGAATCCCAAAACCCAATTCCAACCACAATCCCCCATTACCAAACCCCAAACCCCAAACCCCAAACCCCAAACCCCAAACCCCAAATAAACCCCAAATAAACCCCAAACAAACCCCAAACCCCAAACCCCAAATAAACCCCAAATCCCAAATCCCAAAATCCCAAATCCCAAATCCCAAACAAACCCCAAATAAACCCCAAATAAACCCCAAATAAACCCCAAATAAACCCCAAATAAACCCCAAATAAACCCCAAATAAACCCCAAATAAACCCCAAACCCCAAACCCCAAACCCCAAATAAACCCCAAATAAACCCCAAACAAACCCCAAATCCCAAACCCCAAACCCCAAACCCCAAATCCCAAACCCCAAATCCCCAAACCCCAAATCCCAAACCCCAAACCCCAAACCCCAAATCCCAAACCCCAAATCCCCAAACCCCAAATAAACCCCAAATAAACCCCAAATAAACCCCAAATAAACCCCAAATAAACTCCAAATAAACCCCAAATCCCAAACCCCAAACCCCAAACCCCAAACCCCAAACCCCAAATAAACCCCAAATAAACCCCAAATAAACCCCAAATAAACCCCAAATAAACCCCAAATAAACCCCAAATAACCCCAAATAAACCCCAAATCCCAAACCCCAAACCCCAAACCCCAAACCCCAAACCCCAAATAAACCCCAAATAAACCCCAAATAAACCCCAAATAAACTCCAAATAAACCCCAAATCCCAAACCCCAAACCCCAAACCCCAAACCCCAAACCCCAAATAAACCCCAAATAAACCCCAAATAAACCCCAAATAAACCCCAAATAAACCCCAAATAAACCCCAAATAAACCCCAAATAAACCCCAAATCCCAAACCCCAAACCCCAAACCCCAAACCCCAAACCCCAAATAAACCCCAAATAAACCCCAAATAAACCCCAAATAAACCCCAAATAAACCCCAAATAAACCCCAAATAAACCCCAAATAAACCCCAAATAAACCCCAAATAAACCCCAAATAAACCCCAAATAAACCCCAAATAAACCCCAAATAAACCCCAAATAAACCCCAAATAAACCCCAAATAAACCCCAAATAAACCCCAAATCCCAAACCCCAAACCCCAAACCCCAAATAAACCCCAAATAAACCCCAAATAAACCCCAAATCCCAAACCCCAAACCCCAAACCCCAAACCCCAAATCCCAAATCCCAAACCCCAAATAAACCCCAAACCCCAAACCCCAAACCCCAAATCCCAAACCCCAAATAAACCCCAAACCCCAAATCCCAAACCCCAAACCCCAATCCCAAAATCCCAAATCCCAAAATCCCAAATCCCAAACCCCAAACCCCAAACCCCAAACCCCAAATCCCAAACCCCAAACCCCAAACCCCAAACCCCAAATCCCAAACCCCAAATAAACCCCAAACCCCAAATCCCAAACCCCAAACCCCAAACCCCAAACCCCAAACCCCAAATCCCAAATCCCAAACCCCAAACCCCAAACCCCAAACCCCAAATCCCAAACCCCAAACCCCAAACCCCAAATCCCAAACCCCAAACCCCAAACCCCAAACCCCAAACCCCAAATCCCAAACCCCAAACCCCAAACCCCAAATCCCAAACCCCAAACCC